TAATATTTTTTTTCTAAATTATTCCTATTTTTTTAAATTTCAGTTTCTACCTAGAATTTTCTCTCCGCTACTGTTTAGTATGACGTGTTGGTGAATAAAAAATGAAATAAAAAATTAGGTGGAAACCAAAATGGGGCATTATTTTTTGAATTTAAAAAAAATTACTATTTTCTTCTATTTTTTTGGTGGGAATCAAAAAACGCGCAATCCCTGCCTTATTAGTAGTCTATTGATGTCCATTTCATGTGAATAATGTCTGAAAAATTTTAAAATAAAAAACCTAGGCACCACAATCATCGTCGTCGTTTTGGTCATCATCATCACCAACAGCAGCAGCAACCTCATCAGCAGCATTGTCACCATCATTCTCGTTCAAAGTTTAGTCAGTATAAGGATATCACCCTTGTTATCATCATCTTGATCACTGTCATAATCATCATCATCATCTTCTTTATCTTCTTCTTTTTTATCTTTCTCTCCTTCTTCTACATCATCATCATCTTCTTCATCTTTTTCTTCTTCATCTTTCTCTCCTTCTTCTACATCACCATCCTCTTCTTCATCTTTCTCTCCTTCTTCTACATCACCATCCTCTTCTTCATCTTTCTCTCCTTCTTCTACATCATCATCATCTTCTTCATCTTTTTCTTCTTCATCTTTCTCTCCTTCTTCTACATCACCATCCTCTTCTTCATCTTTCTCTCCTTCTTCTACATCACCATCCTCTTCTTCATCTTTCTCTCCCTCTTCTACATCACCATCCTCTTCTTCATCTTTCTCTCCTTCTTCTACATCACCATCTTCTTCTTCCTCTTCCTTCTTCTTGATCGTCATGATCATCGCCGTAATACTGAATGATTATACATTGTTAAACACGCTCCTCACGTTTGTCTCATCAACGTCATAATATTAATAATAATAAAATAATAATAATAAAAAATAATAATAATAATATATTATTATTAACAATATAAATAATAATGATAAGCAAAAGAAAAATAATAATCTTAATCATTATCGTCTGCTGCAACATCAAAAACTCCATCTTCGTTATAGTAAAAAACAAAAATTTGAAAATACAGTCAAAAAGTTAAAGTTTAAAAGGCAATTAATTTGTATTTTTTGTCAGGATTTGATGTACGCACACAAAAACACACACAATCAAACAAACACACACATACACCATTACACACAAACAATCTAACAAACAAACACACATACATATACACACTCAAAATCAAACAAACACACACATGCACATATACACACGCAACAATCATACAAACAAACACACACATATACACACACTCAATCAAACAAACAAACACACACATATACGCTGCCCTAGACTTCCTATCGATCGAGAGCAGTCAAAAAAATGTTTATATAGTACAAAAATAATATAACAATTACTGCAACATTGTATTGTATTGTATCGAATAGTATCGTCGTATCGTTTCGAATCGTTTCGTCTCGTTTCGAACGATACCAAGCACTACAATTGTATACATTCACAGCGTAAGCATGTAGGGCTGGATTATACATATTGACGTGCATAAAAATGTGAACAAATGTAAATACAATCGGGCAAACAAAAGTGCATGTCACACACAAACACACCACATCACTTACACACACACACACCACATCACACACACACACATACATACACACACACACACACATACAAACATACATCGTAATGGTTAAGCTCGTATCTTCACTTATATAGACAAATATAGTTTTATCACATATATAAAAAACTGGTATACCTACATTTACAAACGCGCACACACACACATACACAAACACCCACACACATACACAAACACCCACACACAACCACACAGACAGCTCCAGTAGAGTAAATAAATGTTTTCTGAATTTAGAAAAAAAACTAGGAATAAATAAAACATGGGAGTAGCTATAAATCAACTTTTAAATGCTGCTATTGCGGCATACGACCACTAAAAAATAAAAAAAAACAAAATAAAAATGAATAAAAAAAGACCAAAAAAAATTGAAAAAATTATAAAAATGTAAAATCCCCAAGTTACACTCTTAGTGTCATCAGTCACATCCAATGTAAAATCATTCATTTCTCTTACAAACATTGTCACATTTCATGGATTTCAGTACCATTTTAACTTACGAATATGATGACATCAAATACATCAATAAATTTTGTTTTTTCAAACTACTATTACATCAAGACGTCAGCACAAAAACGTCAGTAACAGAAGTTGCAGCAACTGTAGTAGCAGAACCAGTAGTAGCAGTAGTAGCAGCAACAGCAGTAGCAGCCGTAGTAACAACAGCAGCATTAAAAAAACATCACCAACAAATAAATCACACTTCTCAACACTTGGATTCCTTCCTGTTTCAAACTTTCATTTCAAATTCTTCAATTTAATTTTTTTTTTCTTCTTCGTAGAAAAAGCTTCAAAAACCTTTTTTTTCAGATTCTGCCAAATTCACAGCGTGAAAAATGAAAATGAATTTGGATTGGAAATAGTGTTAAAAAAGCTGTTGTCGTTGCTGGGAATGATGATGATCTTCTCACAATCATCATCATGATGTCATCCTGTAATCATCATCACCATCATCATCATCGTCGTCTTTATCATCATCATCGTCGTCGTCTTCATCATCATCATCAAACTCTATTTTATTCATCTGAGTGTTTGCTGCTCGTATGAAACCGACAAATAAAAAGTTTCTACAAAAAGCGAAATTGAATTTTAGCATAGAAAAAAATTTAAACTTAAAAAGCATTAGAAAAATATTTCAAATTTAGAAAATATCTTTGTGGTCTTCGTTTAATTTATAGTTTTTTGTTGGTAGTTGTTGTTGTTGTTGAAGTCATTTGTTGTTAAAAACACACAACATATTCACACATATTCAAACACACACACACACATAAACATATTGATATAATAATCGCAGGGTTGTTAACAATATTCAAATTTTGTATTGCCAAACTGGTTTCAAATGGTCTTACCTATTTGAAATATTACTGCAACAATTTAAAAAAAAACAACGACACTAATATAAACAACAACAACAGAAAAAACCACCGTAACATTAATAACAACAATAACATCAGCAACAACAGCAACAACAGCCTCAAAAATCACAATAACATTATTAACATCAACAACAACAACAGCCTCAAAAACCACAATAACATTAATAATAACAATAACATCAACAACAACAGCCTCAAAAATCGCAATAACATTAATAACATCAACAACAACAACAACAGTCCCAAAAACCGCAATAACATTAATAACATCAACAACATCAACAACAACAACCACAAACACATCCAGGGGACTATTTAATATTTAAAGGAGGCAAAGACGATAAAGTTGAGAAAACATTTGTTGTTTGTTGTTGTTGCTGCTATTGTTGTTGTTGGTGTTGTCGTTTTTCGTTTGTATGTTTTAGTCGTTGTTGTTGTAGCTTTTGTTGGTATGTTCTAGCTGTTTGTGTTGTTGTTGTAGTTTTTGTGGTTATATTTTAGTCGTCGTTGTTGTTGTTGTGTTTGTTGATGATGTTGTTGTTAATGCTGCTGTTGTTGTTGGTTTAATTGATGTTATTACTAATACACACACAAACACACAGACACAATAACACACAGACATAACAACACACCGAAACACACACACACAAACGCGCGCACACAAACAAACAAACACACACACACATATGTATATATAAATATACTATATAAACCATAAAAAAATAATACACAATATGTATTTTTCCTATAGATTATTATTTATTTTTCATTTGCTAATTATTCCAGGATTAGATAGCTTACTTTCTAGCGTCGTCATCATCATCTTCACCATCTTCTTCTTCATCATCATTATCATTTTTAACAACAACATCAACAACGAAACAACAGCAACAACGACAACGACAACAACAACAAAAACAACAACAAAAACAACAACAACACAGTAAACAATCATCTTTATCATCACATTCATCACATTAATCATATTAATAAAAATATTATAAAACTATAACATGACAACAGTTCACATTCTTCACATTCGTCATTTCATCATCATCATCATAATCATCACCACCATCATCATCATCATTACCATCGTCATCATTATCATCATCATCATTACCAACAACAACATCGTTATCATCACCAACGCCATAATCACCACAGGCACTTTTTCACATTCAGAGATTTTTTCTTAAAAGTTCCAGAAGGCTTCCTTTTGTTCAAGGCTTTGACACCTTTTATTTGGTTAGTAGCAGCAGCAGCAGCAGCATTAGTAGTAGTAGTAGTAGTAGTAGTAGTAGTAGTAGTAGTAGTAGTAGTAGTAGTAGTAGTAGTAGTAGTAGTAGAAGCAGTAGTAGTAGTAGTAATAGCAGTAGTAGTAGTAGTAGTAGTAGTAGTAGTAGTAGTAGTTGTTGTTGTAGTACTAGTAGTGTATACGTATGTCCATTTAACATTTGAGATAGAGGTCGGATGAAAATATTTGTCAACGAAAAAAATCTTAAAACCAAATAAAAACCAAAGAAATAACCAACAATGAATATTCAAACGAGACGAACGATAATACGTTCATTTGTATTCTGAGTTGACAAAGAACAAAAATTAAGCTGGGACAACAAAAAAAAATAAAATGGAGGAATGAAATGAAGACTTTGCAATGTTCCATTCGCGTCATGAAGTACATTTCAATTCATTTTAATTCATTTTTTTGAATATTTTCATAGTTATTTTTGCCAAAACTGAGTTTGAATCATCATCCCCATCTTCATTATCCTCATCAGATTTGCGTCATGACGTCATAATTTCAGTCAATTTGACGTCATCAATTTTAATTCGCTGATCAATATATTGCGGACTATCAAATCATCATCATTAACTGTCAATGATTAAATATTGTTTACATTATCATCATCGTCGTCGTCATCTTCTTCATCATCTTTATCGTCATAATCATCATCTTCTTCATCCACACCATCGTCGCCATCGTCATCATCGGCATCATTATCATCATCGTTGTCGTCGTCATCATGAAATTATTAATATCCGAAACAATAGCCCAACAAGCAAGAGGCCATTTCATTCTGACCTCTGCTGATGAAAAAAAATTAATCACCCAAACACAGCAATAATAATAAGAAATAATAAGAATAAAAAGAATAATAATGAAATAATAATAATAATAATAATAATGAAAAAAAAACGTAAATAACAATAGTTACGTCACAAATGACGTCACCAACCAACCGACGAAAAAAATATAATCAATAATTGTATAGTTGAAGAGTTTAATCAGTGGCTGCATGCTTTGCATACATGTGTTTGATTCACACACAAACACACACACACACTCATTATATACATTATATATACCTTACATATACACACACACAAACGAAAAGTTAATTTAAATTATAAATGATAATTAGAGAAAAATGACATTGAAATTAGCATCGTAGAGAAAGCAACATTATACAAAATGGTCCTTTATTGGTCAATTTAAAGTACAAATTAAGACATTTAACTCTTGTTAATAATTGATTAGAGCCCATAATGATGACATTTGTGAGAAATTACATTAATGCTATTCAATAAAGACAAATTCTCCACTCATTGACGATTACATTACAATAACAAAACACGAAATTGAACTTTGATAAGCTACGACATCATAAAGAATTACCACCAACAACAACATAAAAAAACAAAATTGACAACAGCAACAACAACAGCAGCAGCAACAACAACGACAGCAACAACAACATCATCCTACTTCATTAAAGATGTTCCGATTTTAGTATAGCCGACCGGAAACTGTTGTTGTTGTTGGAAATGAATTTGTTGATATTTATTATTATTTTTGTTGTTGTAGTCGTTGTTGTAGTTATTTTTGTTGTTCTTATCTTTTTCTTTCTTGTGCAACTTTGATGAATTGATGTAATGAAGACTACTGTTATTGTTGTTGTTAGTATTGTTATTGTTATTCTTATTATTGTTATTGTAGGCGTTTTTGTTGATGTTGTTGTTGAGTTTGTTGTTGTTGCTGTTGATGTTGATGAAATGTTCATTGTTGTTGCTGCTGAAGTTTTCTGAAAACATGGTTTCCTGATTTATTGGCGGAAAACAATTGTGCAACGAAAACTGTTGATGTAGACGATGTTGTTGTTGTTGATGTTGCTGTTGTTGTTGATGTTGTTGATGTTGCTGTTGATGATGCTGCAAAAAATGTAACGGCTGCATTTGTTGCTGATATTGTTGGCGTTCTTTGATGTTATTTTTGTTGTTGTTTTTGTTGTTGTTATTGTAACTGTTGTAATCGTTGATGTTGTAATTGTGGCTGTTGTAGTTGTGGCTGTTGTTGTTGATATTACTGCTACCACGCCTCATACTGCATGTCATGTTGATGTTGTTGAGTTTGAGGTTGACGTCATCATCGTCGTTGTCGGTGTTGCTGTATTTGCTGATGTTGTTGTTGTTGTATTTGTTGGCATGTTTATGTTTGTTGTTGTTGATGATGCTGTTGTTGTTGTTGCTGCTGTTGCCATTGTTTCCGCGGTATGTGTTAAATTTGTTCTTTGGTTCTGTCAAAAATTCTAAATAGAAAAAGGGTATTAATATTAGTGAATAAAATAAATTTATAGATTTTTTTGCTTAAGCTTATTAAAAATTCAAATTAACACATGAACGAATGAACGAATAAATGAATGAACGAATAAATGAATGAACGAATGAACAAATAAATGAATGATTGAACAAATGAACGTACGAATGACTGAACGATGGAATGAACTTTAAACAACATTACCAAATCTAAAAAAGTTGAGTTGTAAAAATAACACATATTTATGATATATAAAAGAACTTCGATTGAAATTTACAGGATGCCAGTTCGAACTTTCATTCGTTCATTCATTTATTCATTAATTCATTCATTCGTTTATTCGTTCGTTCGTTCGTTCGTTCGTTTATTCATTCATTCATTCCCCCATTCTTTCATTCCGTGGTCCAATGTAATCCCGCGCAATAAAAACATTTTTATCTCAATGCAGTTTATTTCTCCTTATAATACAACTAACCGCTCATGTCCATACTTGCGATACGGCATCAAATACTACTATTACTACTACTACTACTACTACTCCTACTACTACTACTGTACTACTACTTCTTTTACTACTTCTACTACTACAACTACTGCTGCTACTACTATTACTACTCTAATACTTCAATATACAACATGTATACATTTGTATATCCGATATTCATACATAAATTACTACACAAACACACACATGCGTTTACATACAGAATGACACGCGCACAAGCATGCACACAAATAAATCCACGCACACACACACACGCGCGCGAACAAACACACGCACACGCACACACGCACACACAAACGCACATAAATAAATAAGAAACGAAATTCTGTTAGCTGCCCCAAATGAAACTGTCCAACTGAATGGCGATTTGGGCAATTGATGGCGGATTTAAATAAAAAATTTTCCAGATGTTTTTCAGCGTGCACATGTGTGCATGCATTTTTTATGATGTTTTCCGTTTTACTCACACACAAACACACACAAACACACATATACGCACACGTTCACACACACACATACACACACACAAGCACTTAGACTGCAAACCCGGTAAATAGACAATGACTTACCGCTGTCAACGTTAGCATAGATACTTTCGTTGGCCACACTAACCACCCCAACCTCATCGTCGTCCTCGCCACCACAGCGTACTAAAAAATCGTCGTCGTCGTCTTCACTGTTTAGAGTCGTTGCCGAGATGTTTGTGGTTGATGTGGTTGCTGTTGTGGCTGCTGTCGTAGTTAGCAGTAGGTTCATACCTTTGTTGTCGTATTTTGGGTTGGTCCGGATACGTTCTATGGTTCGATTCATGTTGCGGTTGTTGATGTCTATGATGTTGTTGTTGGTGTTGTTGTTGATGTTAAAGATGTCGATGTCGTGGATGTTGTTGACGTTGTAGTTGTTGCTGTTGTTGGTGTTGTTAGTGTTTTTGTTGATGTATTATTTGTTTTTATTGACGTTGTTTTTATCGATGTTGTTGTTGTTGTTTTGACGTTTGTATTGTAGTTGATGTTTTTATTGTCAGAAAAGTTAGCTTGGAATGTTGGTCACTTACTTCGTAAACTGATGCAGCCAGTTTGTTGCCATGTTTGAAATAATTGCCATATCAGATATTGTTATCAATGTAAGTAATACTAATGTAATTGTTGCTGTGCTATTGTAATTGCTGTTGTTAATGTTGTTGTTGTAGTTGTTGTTGTTTTTGTTGTTGTTGTTGCTATTGTTGTTGTTGTTGTTGTAATAGTAGTTGTTGTTGTAGTAGTAGTAGTTGTTGTTGCTATTGTTATTGTTGTTTTTGTTGTTGTTGCTGGTGTTGTTGTTGTAATACTGTTGGTAATAATGTTAGTAGACTGAAACTGATTTCATTCCTAGTTATGGTTACCGTTTAGAAGCAGTTGTTGTGGTTTCATTAATCAAAGTTGACGTCACGTTCATCAACTGGTTTTCTTGATTTCTATTACATTGTTAAGGTAAAAAATATTACATTAAAATCATTACATTACATTACATGGCGTCATATTACATAACATCGTCTCACATATTACGCCCTATTATATCTAATTACATTATATATTAGTTACGTCATTTCACATCAAATTACATCATAAATCAAAATACTGCTTTGTTAATAAGCGTCGTGACGTCACATCAAATTACATCACACACACACACACACACACACACACACACACACACACACACACACACACACACACACACACACACACACATATATATATATATATATATATATAAATATATATATATATATATATATCCCAACAAATCACATCACACTCCTTTGTTTAAATTTAGGGGGGGGGGGGGATTTTTTTTTTATTTGATCGATCGGCCAGCTTGAAATAACGCTTGACCATTTGTGATGTTGGACGGTTGTGAGTTCGTTTAGTGAAAAATATTATTAAAAAAAATAATGGTGTTGTTTTTATACTTTAGTAAAAATACTATTAACTACCATTATCACTACCACCACTACCACTACTACTACTACTACTACTGCTGCTGCTGCTGCTACTACTACTACCACTACTACTACTCTACTACTATTACTACTACTAATACTACTACAACAACTACTATTATTATTACTACTGCTGTTGCTGCTGCTACTACTACTACTAATAATACTACTACTACTCTACTACTATCACTACTACTACTGCTACTGCTGCTACTGCTACAACTAGTATTTAGTAGTAGTAGTAATGGTAGTAGTAGTTAGCAGTAGCAGTAGTAGTAGTAGATGTAGTAGCGTTGATTATGAAAATGGTAGAAGTAATTTTACTTCTCGTATTAAGAGTAGTGGGAATGGCAGTACGTTTAGAGGTTGTGCTTTGAGTTCGAGTGGGATGAATTTAAATCTGTCCTATTCAGTCATTCACAAACATTATCTTGTCTGTGGTGATGTTATGGTCTATGTTGTTGTTGTTGATGCTGTTGTAGGTGCTGCTGTTGTTGTTGTTGGTGGTGGTTTTATATCTATGGTTATACCGTTTTTACTGGCTTTTTTGTCTTTGGTTTTTTTGCTGATGTTGATGTTTGGTAGATGTTGTTTATGGTGTCATTGTTTTGCTAAAGTTCTATAGTTGTTGTTGTTGTTGTTGTTGTTGTGTTACTGTTGCTGTTGTTGATGTTGTTGTTATTGTTGCGTTAATGTTGTTGTGTTAATGTTGTTGTTGTTGTTTTAATTCGCAAACGATGACGCTAACATTAATATGAAAACTCCGAGAATTGATGTTATTGTTTTTAGTTTAGTGTTTTTTTATTAATCTATCATTTTAAACAAATGACGTTTCTATTGGTTTAGTTGTAAATTTGATGTTGTTGCCCGCCAATACTCAATCGAAAGTTTCAACGTTGATGTCATTCTGTTGATGTTTTCAATGACGTTTTCAATGTTTATTAGTTGTTATTAATGCTATTAATGACATTTTTTGTTATCATTAATGTCATTAATGTTATTTTTATAAAGTTTTCAATGTTGTTTTGGTATCTTTGTCGTCGTTGTTAAATCTGTTGTTGTCTGTTGTTCCTTTATTATCCACCATTCAGATGGCCTGCAATAAAGTCTCGTTAATGTTGTAGTTTGAGTAAAATTGGTTGTTGATGTCTCGGCTGATGTTGATGTCTTCTGATGTTAATGTCACTGCTATTTTATGTTTGCTATTCTAGCGCTGTTTGTTTGAGGTTTGGTTTTTGTTAGTGTCATTTTTACCGTTCTGATGGTGTTGTTGTTGATGTTGTTGCTGCTGCTGCTGTCGTCGTTGCGGCTTCTGTAGCAGTACTAGTCGTAAGAGTACTAGTTGTTGTGGTAGTTGTAGCTACTGTTGTTGCGGCTTCTGTAACAGTACCAGTAGTAAGGGTACCAGTTGTTGTAGTAGTTGTAGCTACTGTCGTTGCGGCTGATTTAGCAGTATTAGTAATAGTAGTAGCACCAGATGTAGTAGTAGTTGTTGTTGTTGTTGCTGCTGCTGCTGCTGTTTACGCTTTTGTTGATAAGTGGAGAAATGATTAAGATGACGTCATCAATTTTCATTTTGACGAATGCAATTTTTTACTGCAATGTAAATTTTGATAAAGAAAGACATCCTCCCATTATTTATAACGCACAAAAAGATGTAAAATAATATCAACAGAGTGGGAGAAACCAAAGGATGGTGGTGTAAAATTTACAGTCGGATACTTTTGCATGATATGTTGCATTAGGGGTAGTGTGAGCCCTGGATCAGAAGTTTTTTAGGGTCTGTGATGAATGAGTTGAAAGGCAATAAAACAATGGATGCTACACTAATTTTTCAACATGTTCAAATTTTCCCCCCAAAAAAAAATCATAATAATAATTTTAGTTGCAATTCAAATGAGTAATGCTAACAACTAGAAATTATGCTAATTATCGTGACTCTGCTAATTATCATAATTTATTATTCGAGAATGGTGATGGTGTGGAGGACAACTACGACGACGATGATGATGATGATGACGAGGCGATGATGATGATGATGAAGATGGTAGTGGTGATGATGCAAGCAGCATAGCAGTAACAACGGTTGTAGTAGTAGCAACAATAATCATACTTGAACAAATGAAAAAGATTTTGTTGAAAACAAAATTTAAAAAATGCACTTAAGAAAAATTATATTTGTTAAAAAATTGAATTGAAATATTGCTGAGGTGAATGTTTATGATAATTAAAGTTTTTGTTCGTTTGTTTGCATTATGCATGTTTGTTTGATTGATTGATTATATGCATTTTTGTTTGTTTTGTTTGTTTGTTTGTTTTCTTGGTTGGTTGGTTGGTTAGTTGGCCGGTTGCATGTGTATAAATGTTTGTTCTTTCGTTCGTTCGATCGTTCGTACGTTTGTTTGTTCGTTCATTCGTTCGTTCGTCATATAAAAACTTCCTGATAAAAAAAATTAATTTTTCTCTTTACCGTTGACATTTCAAGTTCAAATGTTTTTATAAAAAATTATTTTATTTCTTCTTTGTATTATTTATATTATTATGGAAAATTTGGTTTTGCTGATGTTGTTTACGTTAATGTTGATGTTGCTAACGTAATTGTTATTAATGTTAACGTTGTTAGTGTTTTTGTAGATGTTTTTGTTGCTGTTATTGTTGTTATTGCTGTTGATAATTGTGCAGATGTTGTTGCTAAAGTTGAAGATGTTGTTGTTAATGTTGCAGATGTTGTTGCAGATGTTGTTGTTAATGTTGAAAATGTTGTTGTTAAAGTTGAAGATGTTGTTTTGAAGGTTGTAGATGTTGTTGTTAATGTTGAAGACGTTGTTGTTAATGTTGAAGATGTTGTTGTTAATGTTGTTGATAATATTGTTAATGTTGCAGATGTTGTTGTTAATGTTGAAGATGTGC